CTGAGGGTTCTCTCCAGGTCACCTGTCCTTAACTTTTTGAGGACCCTCCACACCATACTGTGTCCCCCAGTGGCTGTATTACCCTTTGTTCCTGACAGTGGTGCACACGATTTTCCCATTTCTCTACATTTTGTAAACACTTGTTATCTGACTTTCTGCCCTCTGTAGTCCCAGTGGATACAAGATGTCATCTTGGGCTGAGCGTGGTACTGCACACTTACCACCTCAGCATTCGGGAGGCTGAGGAGAGAGGTGATGAGTTTAAGGCCAGCCTTGCTGCACAGTGAGACCCTTCTTCATCAGGCCAAGCCAAACCAAAAGAGAAGAAAGTATCTCATTATAGATGTCACTGTGTTCCCCTGAGGATTAGTGACAGTGAATATCTGGGGCTTTTCTTTGTTTGCTTGTTTTCATTTATTGAGACAGAATTTCTCTGCATAAACATCCTGGCTGTCCTGGAACTCTCTCTGTAGACCAGGCTGGCCTTGATCTCACAGAGATCTGTCTGCCTCTGCCGCCTAAGTGCTGGGATTAAAGGTGTGCACCACCACTACCACACACAGCTTTGAATATATATTTTTAAACTTTTGTGTGTCTGTGTATATGCATGTGAGTGCAGTGCAGAGGAGGGCGTCAGATTCCCCTGGAACTGGAGCTATAGGTGGTTGTGAGCTACTAGATGTGGGTGCTGGGTGACAGAACTCAGGTTCTCTGCAAAAATAGGACATGCTCTAACTGCTGAGCTGTCTTTCTGGTCTCTGACATCTTTTAAATTTTTTGAATTACATATATTTATTTATTTAGTCTCTTTCTCTCTGTCTCTCTTTCTGTGTGTGTGTGTGTGTGTGTGTGTGTGTGTGCGCGCGCGCGCTCACACATGCATGTGTGCTCACTTTTGAGAATGTGCACCATAATGAGCTTCTGGAGTTTAAAGGATAACTTTGGAGAGTTGATTCTCCCCTTCCACCATGTGAATATTGGGGATGGAACTCAGATCATCAAGATGGCAACAAGCTCCTTATCCATCAAGCCTACTTGCTGGCTCCCCAACACCATTTTATTTGCATCTTGGCCCATTCACTCATTCTTTCATTACAAGCTTCCCTCCCCCCTTTTCTTCTCTTTTTCTGTGTTGTAGCACAGGCCAATCTCTGACTTGCTATGGGACTAAGAACAACGTTGAACTTCTGGTTCAACTTTCTCTGTTCTGGTGCTAGGAGTACAGGCATGCATCACAGCCTCCATTTTATGCTGTTCTAGGGGTAGAACCTCCAGCTTTGTGTGTATCAGGCAAGCACTCTACCATTTGGGACTATATACCCAGCCCTTATCACAAGTATTTATTAAGCATTTACTATGGGTGAGACAGTGTTTGGGATTCTGGAATTGCATTGATGGACAGGCCGATGCTAGCACTCCAGTGGTGCATGTGTGAACACTTTGGTGTGAGTTCTGTTTCCTTCATCCATCAGTGCTGAATTGCTGAGCCTTTCTCTGCTTTAAGTTCCTCATCTGAGCAATGGGTGCTCTCTATGGTTCCTATTGCTGTGATAAAACATCATGACCAAAAGCAACATGGAGAGGAAAAAGTTAATTTCATCTTACAGTTTACGGACCATCATGAAGGGAAGTCAGGGCAGGAACTCAAGGCAGGAACCTGGAGGCAGGAACTGAAACAGGGATCATGGAAGAGTGGTACTTATTGGCTTGCTCCTCAGATCTTGCTCAGTCTGTTTTCTATTTTCCCTTCCTTCCTTCCTTCCTTCCTTCCTTCCTTCCTTCCTTCCTTCCTTCCTTCCTTCCTTCCTCCTCCTCCTCCTCCTCTTCTTCTTCTTCTTCTTTCTCTCTCTCTC